ATATATATATATATACACTGAACAGTCATGACTGCCTAATATTGTGTAGGTTCCCCTCATCCTGTCAAAAAGATCTGATGAGTTGAGACACAAATTCCACAAGACCTCTGAATGTGTCCTGTAGTATCTGGAACCAAGACATTAGCAGTAGATACTTTAAGTCTTGCAAGTTAAGAGATGTGGCCTCCATGGATTAGATTTGTTGTTCTAACACATCTCAAAGATGTGCACTCGGATTGAGATCTGGGAAATTTGATGAATTCTATGTCATATTCTTCAAACCATTCAGAAATATTTTTTGCAGTGTGGCAGGGTGCATTATCCTGCTGAAAGAGGCCATTGTCATCAGGTAACCCCTTTGGCATGAAGATGTTTACGTGGTCTGTAACAATTTCTAGTTAGGTGCTAAGTGTCAAAGTGCCAGGACCTAAGATTTCCAAGTTTTTCATCAATTTGACCTTCAGTAGCTCTTCCGTGTGATCGGACCAGATAAACTAGCCTTTGCTCCCCACTTGCATCAGTGAGTCTTGGACACCCATGACTCTGACGTTGGTTCACAGGTTGCCCTTCTTTGCACCACTTTTGGTAGGTACTAGCCACTACATACCAGGGGCATCCCACTTGCCATTTGGATGCTCTGACCCAGTCGTCTAGCGGTCTCTACTTCACCCTTCTAAAAGTCAATCAGATCTTTCCTGGCCAAATATGGCAGCATCACTAATGGGTAGCTCCACCCTAGCTGGATCAGGACAGGAAACAATCAATCGAATTGTAGGCATAAAAGGTCCTCCCCTCCATACCTCTTTTTTTCTGTCCTCAGTCGGACAAACAGGAATTTATGCTCCAAATATATTTTCTTTTTTGGGCACCTCCCATGTCTACCATGAGTATATGAGATGAGGTTCAGCCTCTCTTCACCTAAAGAATTAAGTAAGCAATTTACAGTAGCAGGACTTACTGAGTTAGGTTCAGTTTTGTAATTTCAACCACTACGTGAGAATTAAACCTTTATATTGACTAGGAGGTATGAATCAGGGGTCAACCTGTGCCTTAAAAGTTTGCCTTTGTATATTCCCCCAATTTTGAGTATAATCCAAATAGGTAGTTGTATTTTAGAGAAGATAAACTTTCCTTATGGTAGTTGTTAGTATATATGTAATCTCTGTTTTTCTATACAGGTGATACTCCAAAAATTTAAATATCGTGCAAAAGTTCATTTAATTCAATAATGCAACGTAAAAGGGGAAACTAATATATGAGATAGACGCATCACATGCAAAGCAAGATATTTCAAGCCGTGATTTGTCATAAGTCCGATGATTATGGTTTACAGCTCATGAAAACCCCAAATCCACAATCTCAGCAAATTAGAATATTGTGAAAAGGTGCAATATTCCAGGCTCACAGTGTTCCACTCTAATCAGCTAAGTAAGCCATAACAATGTTTCTGAGCCTTTAAATGGTCTCTCAGTCTTGTTCAGCAGGAATCACAATCATGGGGAAGACTGCTGACCTGACAGTTGTGCAGAAAACCATAATTTAAGCCCTTTATTAGGAGGGAAAGCCTCAAAAGGTAATTGCGAAGGAAGTAGGATGTTCCCAAAGTGCTCTATCAAAGCACATTAATAGAAAGTTATGTGGAAGGGAAAAGTGTGGAAGAAAGGTGCACAAGCAGCAGGAATGACCACAGCCTGGAGAGGATTGTCAGGAAAAGGCCATTCAAAAGTGTTGGGGACTTTCACAAGGAGTGGACTGAGGTTAGAGTCAGTACAACAAGAACCACCACACACAGACGGATCCTGCACATGGGCTTCAGATGTCGTATTCCTCTTGTCAAGCCACTCCTGAACAACAAACAACATCAAAAGCGTCTTATCTGGGCTAAAGAAAAACAGACCTGGTCTGTTGCTCAATGGTCCAAAGTCCTCTTTTCTGATGAGAGCAACTTTTGCATCTCATTTGGAAACCAAGGACCCAGAGTCTGGAGGAAGAATGGAGAGGCACACACTGCAAGATGCTTGAAGTCGAGTGTGAAGTTTCCACAGTCTGTGTTGATTTGGGGAGCCATGTCATCTGCTGGTGTTGGTCCACTGTGCTTCATTAAGTCCAGGGGCAATGCAGCCGTCTACAAGGAGATTTTGGAGCACTTCATGCTTCCTTCCGCAGACGAGCTTTGTGGGGATGCTAACTTCATTTTCCAGCAGGACTTGGCACCTGCCCACACTGCCAAAAGCACCAAAGCCTGGTTCAGTGACCTTGAGATTACTGTGCTTGATTGGCCAGCAAACTCACCTGACCTGAACCCCATGGAGAATCTATGGGGCATTGCCAAGATGAGAGACATGAGACCGAACAATGCAGAAGAGCTGAAGGCCGCTATTGAAGCATCCTGGTCTTCCATAACACCTCAGCAGTGCCACAGGATGATAGCTTCCATGCCAAGCCGCATTGAGGCAGTAATTACTGCAAAAGGGGCCCAAACAAAGTACTGAGTCCATATGCATGCTTATACTTTTTAGAGGTCCAATATTGTTTTATGTACACTCCTTGTTTTATTGTTTGCATGTAATATTCTAATTTACTGAGATTGTGGATTTGGGGTTTTCGTGAGCTGTAAGCCATAGCCATAATCATCGCACTTATGACAAATCGCGGCTTGAACTATCCTTTGCATGTAATGCGTCTATCTCATATATTAGTTTACCCTTTTACGTTGCATTACTGAAATAAATTAACTTTTGCACAATATTCTAATTTTTTGAGTATCACCTGTATATTGCTTTTGTGTCTCTCCATAAGGGTCTTTCAGAAAGGATATCTTTCTGGTTGTTGGGGCGTTCCTAGGGGTTGTCTGGGGCAGGGCTGTACAGTCCTGCTGTTTTATTGTGTTCTAGCTAGCTCCTTCCTCCCCAACTGGATTATCCTGTATTGGATCCTGTTGACTCCTGAGAGACCCAGTGCCTTATTAAACGTTTGAGTTTTATAAGAAGAATTGCTTAATTTATTGGTGCCTCTTCCGTGTGCTGCCCAGTACCTTCTAAAAAATATTGAAGGTATTCACTAAAAAGTTATATCTGTTTGTATAAATTACTTTTTAGTTTGATTCTTAGGTGAGTAGTTCTTTGCTTTAATTTACAGCATGGCTTCTCTCTCTCTCTGTCTCAAGACAATCTGATAGAAGACATAGGTGAACCAAAATTTTATTTGGGAGATCAAAAGATCAAAAGATAGCCTTTTTATATTACAGCCCCAGCAAATCTCATGAATCTACACCTCAGAAGCAAGAGAAAACCAACAGATGTGTTAAAGGACCACTCTAGGCACCCAGACCACTTCAGCTTAATGAAGTGGTCTGGGTGCCTGGTCCAGCTAGGGTTAACACATTTTTTAGTAAACATAGCAGTTTCAGAGAAACTGCTATGTTTATTAATGAGTTAAGCCTTCCCCCTAATCCTCTAGTGGCTGTCTCATTGACAGCCACTAGAGGCGCTTGCGTGCTTCTCACTGTGATTTTCACAGTGAGAGCACGCCAGCGTCCATAGGAAAGCATTATGAATGCTTTCCTATGTGACCGGCTGAATGCGGGCGCAGCTCTTGCCGCGCATGCGCATTCAGCCGACGGGGAGGAGAGAAGGAGGATCGGAGGAGGAGAGCTCCCCGCCCAGCGCTGGAAAAAGGTAAGTTTTAACCCCTTTCCCTCTTCCAGAGCCGGGCGGGAAGGGGACCCTGAGGGTGGGGGCACCCTCAGGGCACTATAGTGCCAGGAAAACGAGTATGTTTTCCTGGCACTATAGTGGTTCTTTAACTGCAACCTCAATGAAGCGGTCTAGGTTCAGTGAGTGGTATGTCATTCTAACACTGCAATGTAAACATTTCAGGGTTAAACACACCTCTAGTGACTGTCTTCCTCAGGTGTTTCCGCTGTAAGAACAGAGTTGGACACGGTTCTTAATCAAAAGCTGCTCCTAGAGAATATTTGATTGGTGCTGCTCAGGGATTTGCTGCACATGCACAGTAGCACCCAATGCTTCCTCACGGGGTGGTGGGACATCTACATAAATAAGAGAACACTAGAACATTAGGAATACATGTTTGTATTACCATCGCTATAGTGTTCCTTTAATGTCCTTTTTATTTAAATATAACAGTATTGTAGAAAATTAGCCATGATGAAAAATTTTACAATTCATTTAAATTCCCATGACAGATTAATATTATTCTTAGTTTTGTGAATAAACCCAAATATGCCTTTGGTTATCATTGAATAACGGTCTGTTTTTGTTTGTTTTTTTCAATTGTGCAGATACCAATATTTAGCATATCTTCTTCTTGTTGGAAGGTTTACCTGCAGTTACTCATTGTAATCTCTTCAGGAAACGCTAATATTTAAACATCAAGGAACAAAAACCTAGAAAGAAAGCCAAAAATTGGCTCTTTGATTCAAGAATAAAAATAAACGTTTGTATCAAGGGGAACTTCCTGGTCTTTGTTTTTATAGCATCAAATCCTAAATAAATATTATTACTTTACCACCTGGTTGGAGAGACAGGCATTTATAGAAATCAGTCTATGGCTTTCCATGTAAACAGGTTAAAACATGATCGTAATTACACAACAAGAACTATTCTCTATTCTAAAAAAGTGACCAAAAATATGCCTAGATCAAATATTTATTTCCCCCCTCAAAAGATTGCTACAATTATTAGACAGATAAATAATAATCATAGGTTATGATTTGAGGAGTAACTAATCCTGTTTAATTGGTAATGGGCCAAACTATTTAGCAGTTTGCCCCCTTATCTGAGTCCCCTCTAGGTTCCAGTGGCCCATTTAAAGCACCTGTATATAAAATATGTTTTAAACAGGATAGAAAAGGGGGATCAATCTTCTAAACAGCTGAAAGAACAAAATAAAAAAAAATACTAATTTTGGTCTTGCAGCTGTTGAACAGATAGCTCTCTGGGGGAGCGTGTCCGGCGGCCGAGGAAAATGGACGCCTAATGCAGAAGCTCCTCGTCACGCCCGCAATAAAACAACCAGAACAGCGCGTACCGCTCGACCACGCACAAACCATGGGTCGCACACGGAAGCCCACAGACCCCAGCAGCACCCCGAGGTCGTCAGGCAGGGAGGGGGAGCAATCCATCCGCTCCTACCTTCAAGCCACGGCCCGCCCGCGGTCACCGCAACGGGAGATGGAGGAGGTGAGCCAGGGTATAGAGTCCTTCCCCTCCACACCGGCCAGACTGTCACCCACACCCTCATTCAGCTCTGAGCCACAATTAACGCAGGAGGGTGAGTGGAGGGCCATACTGCCAAATCTCCTCACTAAAGCGGACTTTGAGGCCCTGTCAGACCGCCTAGGCAGAGTGGTGAGGGAGGAGGTGGCCCAGCTACGCGCAGACCTGGCTAATGTGGAGGCCCGCATGTCAGTAGCGGAGTCAGAGACCAGAGCGCTCCGTACAGACCTGGAACACACCAACTCCACAGTCACCAGCCAGGAAGCAGACCTAGCCAGTCCCACCACATGGGTAGACGATCTGGACAACCGCGGCCGCAGACTGAACCTGCGCATCCGCGGGATGAGGGAGGGTGACCCAGCGGAACACATACCCGACACCCTAAAGAGGCTGTTCGCTCAGGTACTGGGGGGCCAGCAAATACCCAGACTTGGCATAGTAAGGGCACACAGGGCACTGCGACCAATGCCGCCACCAGAAGAACAACCAAGAGATATCATATGCTGCCTAGAAAATTACCAATTGAAAGAAGACATCCTGCGCACGGCCCGACGCATGGGAACCATACGCTTCGAGAATCAAACCATATCGATTTATCAAGACCTATCTAGATACACCCTACAAGCCAGAAGAGCGCTACGCCCAGTAACATCCACCCTGCAACAAGCTGGAATACCATACCGCTGGGGTTACCCATTCTCACTCTCAGCTAGACACGGCCAGGTTCAACATACGGTGAAGAAACCAAGCGATCTCCCAGGTTTCCTTCGAGCCATGGGCATCCCACCGATCCAAGTACCAGACTGGCTGGCAAGCTCCTTTCTCCAACCACCGCCCGGACCACAACAGCCGCGCAGACCAGACCAGGGTCCCCCAAGACTCCAGCAACAGCGACGCAGAGACTGGAACCCAGGCCCGGCACGACAGGAGCAGGAGAACTAACAGAGCACCACGCTGAGAGGAGGGGCTGACGATCCAGAGATCAACTCGAAACAGGACACAAAGGGCAAACTGTGAGTACTATTTGGGGTCACACGCGAAACTATAACAGCCACACAGACCACGATGGGGAGGGGGATGGTGGCATGGGGGAACAGGAGCGAAGCACACACTGAAGGGACTGTCAACGGCAAGAGCTCCTTGTGGAGGAAACGCCTTGCCCGCTGTCAGGGCCATGGGGAGGACAAAACAGGACGATTTGGGTGGGATACGGGATCCAGCTCCTGCACCGGCACGATAAACCCCGGACGGACAACGCAACTTGGCGGTGTTATGACATGGGACACAATACTGGCCGAAAGACGCCAACAAAGACACAACGCAACGGAGGGAGGGAGGGTCAGAAGGGGAAATGTCCACTGAAAGGGGGGAAGAAGGGGAGGGGGTGGGGAAGGAATGGGGGAACACACGCACACAGGGGAAAGGGGGGGAAAGGAAACAACAACAAAAAAAAAACCCAAACACGGGGGAAAGAAACAGACACAGCACACGAGCAAGGAAATAGGGGAGAGGGGACCAACGAGACAGACGAGTGGGACAAGCCAACAGGAGCTAGGGGTAAACAGAAGGGGACCCGTGACAATAACCTATAGGCATAATCCATAGGCACAACCCCCGACAGAATCACTTCCCAAGCAAACCACGGATACACATTAAGCATAGGCACCAAAGGAACCATTGGCAGAGGGGCCACAGTGGAAAGCACCCGAGATGACCCAACAGGAACCCAACACGAGACCGCCCCAAGGAAACCCCACCCATCATATTAGCGCACAGACGACATACCACATACGACGCGCACCACACACACGTTATCGTCAGGCAGCCCACAGACACAACAGGTGACCTAAACACCAAACAGAAGCCAGAGATGGAGTAGGAAATAGAACAACTAGTCACGCTGGAACCATGGGAAATAGGAGAATACAGGGACTGAAACCCAGACACGCCGGACCCATACCCACATCACGCCCACATCATCAGTGTGGCACAGGCAGGAAGGTAGCACCACCAGTCAAGTTACCCCACTAGAATGACACCACTCACAGGCCCGGATAATAGGACGGCCCCGACCCCACAAGACCCGGAACTGCAACGAACACACGCCTAGATAGGAACACGCGAAGCGAGATAACATGTGAGACAAAGACATGCACAAGCTAGGAAGCACCACCGCGGCAGACAGTAACACGCATGCTACCTAAAAGATGACCCATGCAAGCACAATACCGAAGAGAGGGAGCGGATGCTCCAATATCATAGCCACTAAGGAGACATGCGACCACACCCTACATACCGAACCAGGTAACACACCCCTCACCTACATAGCACGGACCGGCTTCACAAGGCGGACCGGACACACCGGGGCATAAAGCCCGACACCCCAATAGGCATAGGACACGACTATCCCAACTCCAAAGGGGACGTACTACACCTGGCACCGACGTAGGCACACCACTTGGTGAGACCTATAGGCCGAACAACCGGGCCACTTGTCCATTACCCTACACACCCTCAAAACAACCAACAGCAAGTACCCACTAAGCCGGAGCCCAAACGACAATAAGACAGCAATGAACCGCACACATACACACACACGCACCCAGACCCCGCCTGCCCTGCCCCCGTTGCCCCTCTGGGCCGCTGCGAGGATGCAGGCACAAGAACCCAACGGATTCGCAAGGGAGGACATATGAATCGTTTCCTACAATGTGAGAAACGAACAAGACTGCTAAGGGACCTAAAACACTACAAAGCAACAATAGCGTTCATCCAAGAAACGCACTTCCAGGAGGGCAGAGCACCGGCTCTAAAAGACCGCAACTACCCAACGGGATACTTCAGCCACAACCAAGATAGACGCACACTGGGAGTCTGCATCCTCTTCTCACGACGAGTCCCGTACGAGGAGCAAGTCACCGTTCGATGCAAGCATGGCAGATATATTTTTACAAAAGGCAAAATAATGGACCAAATATACACGTTCGCCAACATATACGCCCCAAATACGAAACAACACCACTTCCTCCGAAGAACACTAACCACGCTGATGAAATTCATGGAAGGCACCCTGATCATAGGAGGACACCTCAACCTGGCGATACACCCGGACCAGGACTCCACCTCAGCACGCGGACGCATATCGATCAATAGGCACGCCAACACACTCCGCCTCTTCCACCTCCACCAGCTGGCAGACTGCTGGCGAGCACTGCACCCAACTGCACGAGATTATACTTTTTATTCTACGACACACTCGACATATACAAGACTTGATTATTTCCTAGTACCTCACCACGACCTAGCTCTACTCACCGCGGCAGAAATCCTGCCAATTACTTGGTCAGACCACAGCCCAATCCGCATACGGATTAAGTCGCCACTATACAAACCCAGACAAATGTCGTGGCGACTGAACGAATCGATCCTTTCAGACGTCTCGGTCGTAGACCAAATCAACCACCACATACAGGACTACTTCAAAGACAACGAGACAGACGACGTCACCCCACTGACAAGCTGGGAAGCTCACAAAACAGTCATCAGAGGTAGATTCATCGCGATATGCGCGACCCGCAAAAAGAAGGCGACACAGACGATACAAGTACTCAGTAAGGAGATCGGGGAACTGGAGGCTAGACACAAACGCACCATGGACATGACGATATACGAGGAACTCACGACGAAACGGAACCAACTCACCGCGCACTTGAACCAAGCAATCCAACGCTCATACCAACACTACAAACATATGATCCATGAACACGGGGACAAGTGTGGGAGACTACTGGCGAACCTCCTGAAGCAACGCCGCAACCAACTGTACATTCCGAAGATTAAAGACGCACACCAACAACTCAGACACCTGCCAGACCAGATCTCGACAGCGTTCCACGATTACTACCAGGACTTATATCGCCTCCGTGAACCAGATCAAGAACTTCAGAGGCCTCAAAGAGCCGAGGACATACGCAGATACCTAGACGCGGCAAATATACCAGGAATAGAGGAGGTGGACCAGGAAGCCTTAGAGGCCCCCATAACACCCGAGGAATTGGCATACGCCATCAAAAAAGCGAAAACGGGCAGGGCTCCGGGCCCAGACGGCCTACCCCTGCAATACTATAAAACCTTCGCAGCGGACCTCTTACCGAAACTACTGAAAGCCCTGAACTCAATCCAAGACGGAGCCACACCAACAGCCCAATTCACCTCGGCAAACATCACCCTTCTCCCAAAGGAAGACAAAGACAAGACGCTGTGTCCAAGCTATCGCCCGATATCCGTACTGAATACGGACCTCAAACTTCTGGCAAGCATACTGCAGCACGCCTGGCACCACTCCTGCCGACTATAATCCATTCAGATCAAACAGGTTTTATCCCAGGGAGGGAGGTGAAGGACAACACAATCAGAGCCTTAAACCTCATAGCACATGCAAGAGGGCAGAAGACCCCAGTCCTGCTCCTGTCCACAGACGCAGAGAAGGCGTTCGACAGGGTGGACTGGGATCTGATGTTCGAAACACTCCGCCACCTGGGCATAGGCCCACACTACATGACCTGGGTACAGGCGCTCTACACGGACCCAACGGCCCGAATTCGGATAAACGGGGCACTGACAGACCCATTCCAGATTCACAACGGAACCAGACAGGGATGCCCGCTTTCACCCATACTCTTTGGGCTGACGCTGGAGCCCTTCCTGAGCAGGATCCGACAGAACACTGACGTCCGAGGGCTAACAGTCGGGAACACGCACCACAAAACCCTGGCATATGCAGACGATATGCTGTTCGTGGTTACGGACCCGGAAAAATCGCTACAAGCGATACAGACGGAATTCGACATATACGGCCACATCTCGGTCCTCCGAATCAACTACTCAAAATCGGAAATACTGAACATAAATATCAGCAACACACTTAAGCAAACAATTCAGAGGCAACAACCATACCGCTGGTGCGACCGCAGAATGAAATACTTAGGGGTCTGGCTAACACCAGACACAGGGGATCTCTACACCCATAACTACCTCCCGATACTGCGAAAGGCTAAGGAGGAACTGTGTAGATGGGGTTCTTACTACATGTCTTGGCTGGGCAGAGTGAACTCGGTGAAAATGACGCTATTACCGAAGCTACTTTTCATATTCCAAACGATACCGATAAGAGCCCCGCAAACATTCTTCGCGACACTTAAGACAGAAGTTCGCACTTTTATCTGGAAGGGCAAATCCCCACGCATAGCACATACCCAACTGATCCTGCCCAAGCTCAAGGGGGGCCTGGCACTTCCCGACTTTGAAAAGTACTATCATGCGGCACACATCGCCAGAGTAGTCTGCTGGTCGGTAGCCAGCGGCGCAAAACCATGGACACAACTAGAAGCAGACACGACTGGATGCGACCTCAGAACCCTACCATGGATCCCCAAAACAACATACGGGAGCAAACATATCACCAACCCGTTTGTGGCAGCAACCATGCGAATATGGCACGGACAAGGCACAAAACACTACCTGACAACGGACCCAAGCCCGCTCCTGCCCCTGAAGGGAAACCCAGATTTCCCGGCAGGGGGATTATGGCCCCACACCAGGCCTGCCGGGACAGACGGGGGTACCCCGCATGAAAGATGTCCTCCGCCACCCGTTTGAAATCAGACCATTGACGGACATATACCCAGGCAGACCACACACATTTGCCCACACCCTAGCAAGAGCCCAAATCACCAAATACGCCAGATCCATCCCGCAGCGACCGGCAATCACGAGGGAACCAACACAATTCGAGAACTTATGTACACAGGACAAGGAACCACCACGAGCCATCTCACAAATATACAATATTCTGATAACGAGCAGGTACCTCTTGGCACCACCGTGCATCAGAAAGTGGGAAGAAGACTTGGAGGAGCAGATGACGGAAGCAGAGTGGGATA